TGTGGACCACACAGCTATTAGCTCATAGGATTGTTGTGAGGATAAAATGGGATTGCATGTGCACACTGCTTAGCTGGACTATTATTACTATTACATTATTATTTTTCTCACCAATAAAAATGTCTCTCACACCAAGACAAGCATCTTCCTTGCCCCGTTCCCACCTCCCTGGGGAGCAATCCAACCAAGCTGAGATTCTGCACAGAGTGAAGCTGAAAGACCACGCTCTTTCTCATTCTTTCCATGTAGCCTCCATAATGACAAAACCTATGTGGCAGTGTTTGCAAACATGGCAGCCATCATGCCTGCTATCTCTGCCCATGTGCCCCCTTTGCAATATGGCCCCATACTCCTGCTATCAGTAGGTGGATCTTTCTTTACCTTTTGAAGCTGGGCATAGCCACAGAACTCGTTTTGATGGATGGGATAAAATTCAACACAGGTAGAGATTTGAAAAATGTTTGCACATCAGCCCTCACTCTCTCTCACTGCTGGGAGGCCTTCACTACCATGCAAATGAGCCTTCACTTAGCCTTGTGGGTGATGAACAAACAGCACACGCCCTCAGTTGACATCCAGCTGACCACTGGATAGTAAGTGAGTCAGACCTTACTAGACCAGACAACCCCAGCTTAATGGGCCAAGAAAAGAGAAGCTCCCCAGTTCTCCAAAGAATATGATAAATAACAACTATTGTTTTAAACTACTAAGTTTTGGGGGGACAGTTTTGTTACACAACAAAAGATGACTGATGCGATCTGATCCGAGTTTAGAGATTTCCCTTACCTGGGAGGGTAGTAGGGGTCAAAAGTGTGGCCATCCCCTGTACTAATTATGCAGGACAGTTTTCCTATGTAGGGAGAGAGGAGCCACGTCAGGGAGATGGTGACATTGTCAAACACGAAACTCTCATTGGACACCACCAGCTGCAGGCCTGCAGGTTCAAACACAAAATACTATGTCCATGAAGAAAATTCCATACTCCTATTTCAAAACTATTCTCTTCTATCCACCTAACAATTATTTTTATAAGGGGCGTTTAAAATCTTTAAATTTTATGTTTACTTTTGAAAGTTCTTCTGAATTTTGTTTTTCATTCACAGGTGACACACAACCGAGACACAGAATTGGAAATGTATAAAAGGTTTAGCCCTCAGCCTCCAGTCCTGCTGCCCGGGCAGCCAGCACTACCAGGGTCCTGGGTCACCTTCCAGAGATTATCTGCACCTACCCAGGCACGTACATACTTTGTTATTTAGACAATGGTGCATGTTAAATTTACCATTTGGTACCCAGCACGGTTTCCACTTAGTATATCTTGGGGATTGCTCTTATGACTCCAGTTAGAGTTGCCTTGTTCTTTTTAATGACTGCATTATAATTTAAGCAGGATTCTATGAATTGTCCACATTTTTTTTTTTTTTTTTTT